CATATACTATATGTCTCTCACACAGACAAGGTGGGACTCTCGACTTCCAGAGGCGGTCTACATCTATACGTTTCCTACCGCAAGGCCGCGGAGGACCAGGCTTCGTAGCACTGGTAACCTAGTCAAAGAGACGCGAATCGCTAAGTCGTCCACGTGCCGGCAAGAATGACTCTAGATCGCGAGCCTGATTGCAGCGCCGCGCACACCTCCCGTTATGCGGTCAAGCAGACCGACGACGTTTCTTCATGCCACGTGTAAGTCATGAGAGAGACCGAAAATATCAAGAAAACGAGGTACAGACCGGAGAACCCACGGCGGAGTCGTTTGTCAACAATAGAAAGAGAAATCACTGCCGTATAGCTGCGCAGAGATAAGAGCTGTAACCCGGTTCCCCGGAACAAAAAGACTTCTTTGCATACGCGAAGCGACCGGGACAACGAAACTTTTCTTTCGAGATCTACAAAGAAAATGTCGCTCGCTTTGTGCGGTTGTTCAATGGCCCACTGCCGGGCTAACGGTTCAGTCCTGAACGTAGCTCGGCGATGTTCTTTGTCTGAACTCCCGTGTAGCGTTATAAGGGCGACAGCTCGTTACAGCCAATTGGAACGATGAGTACACGGAGGAAGTTGTTGGCTCCGCGACACTACGTTTTCTCATTCGGGATGGTACCAACACATTTTTACGCGCTTTTTTTTTTGTCCATGCCGGCTAGAGCTTTTAGCTTTCGTACTATACTGCACGTAACTCATGATGTTACGACCGGAGAAACGACACAACGTCAATCGCTGAATCATTTCTCGCTAGTGACAGAGCAGGTCTTCTTGAAGGATAGACAAGTGCGAAATGTTCAATGATAATAGAAACAAATAACAGAAAGCGTACCCCTCATTGTTTTCTGGCTGTAGAAGTCTCTGTGTTCAAAGACGTCCACTGACTGGGTACTATTTTGAGATGTGCAACGTTTGTCGGACTTTGTGCGACCGGGCCACCGGTCTCCGTGTTTGTTTTCGACCGTGTCCGCCTTGTTTATTTTTAGGTTACGCTTCTTTGCTTACCGCTTCGATGGCTCCTTGTTGCAAACAAGTTGAAGTGCCCATTGAAACATAATCGTTTCGAACATTGCGTTTTGAAGCAGTTTATTGAACGCTGTGGGATTGATTAGATTCAGCAACAATCCTCGTGTTCATTCAGGATTTGCTATCTAAGGCTTGTTGTGACCTTCGCCTACTTGTATCACTCGGAAAAGTATTTCAAGAGGCGTTGGAGAACAATCTGTCCCTTCTGGTTCGCATCCTTTACCTTGTCTTGCTTTTGCATTGTACTTAGGGGCGTCCTATCATTGAATGGCGCAATACTATACAACAATACCTTACTTTCAGCGGTGTGTTTCCTCAAATAGGGTTAGCCACGTGCCCTTAGCAGCACGGCACAGAGTATATAGCGTTCGTTTGTGAGAGTTTTGATGCAAATAGATTTCTGTTTTTAACAATAAAAGAAAGTTGTTCTGACTCTACAAATATTGTTTCCGCGATTTTCAGTATATTGGCAGAACCCAATAAAATGAGGCATTCGTCCAATACCGATGTTGCCCAGTTATAAAGAAGGGAGGGAAGGAAGGACAGAACAGGAAGGCAAAAAAGTTAATCTGGGGAGCCTGTTCCGGTTGGCTACTTTGTACTGGTGCAGAGGGATGCTTAGATTAAAAAAAATAACAGGTTTGAAGTGGTGAGCAAGCAGAGAATATAAAGGGTAAAAGCTCCAAGATCTGAGCACTAAAACACGGCACTGTTCGCAAACACCGAAGTTCATCATTTAAAGCCAGAAGTCCAGGCTTGTTTCTCCAAGAAAACAAACCAGCTTTTACGACCCTTTCTCCTTTCCATGGTTCGTCTCAGGCACCAAGAGAGGCCACCAAAGAGAAGGGCCGGTTATCCAGCACGCGAGGGTGCTTTCACATTTACTTCTTTTTGGATTGTGGATGATAGAGTTACAAAAAAATATTATGAATTGTTTCAAATCACAGCTTGGCCACTACGGCGTTGTGACTTGTCCAATCCGGTGAAAGGATATTCCCGTATATGGTAAACCAGGTGCACCAAGTCTTATTTCATATATGGCTGTCCTTATCCGCCTTGGCATATAGTCTGGAAGGTGGCATTAAAGAGGTAAGTTTAATGTATCGAAAGGTGTGTACTGATATGAAGTAGTATGCCACAATTGTCTTGTTTTACTGATGACGTGATCAACGAAAGTATGTCGTTTTTACCATACGACACTTTGATACCCCGAGGCATGAAATGGGGATTATAATATGTTGTAATGTTTTATAAAATGACATATTACATTACTTAGCTGAAGACACCAACATGAAGCATTGTACGTAAGAGAAATTAAAAAAAAAACTCGAGCAAGGTACAGACTGTTTATTAAAGTATCTGAAGTGAACATATATAGTAGAACATTTAGTATACAACTTCAATGTAGTATCTAAGCAAAAATAATGGGTTTCCCCCGCTTCATATAGCCTGCACCCGGTTTAGTTCTAGTTATATAAATTCGGACAAGGTATTTCTTTAACAATATGAATCTTAGCAGAAATTTTGTTAATTCAAAACCTTCATTTTCTAGTCGAGTAATAGTTCTTTGTATTTCTATAAGCAAGAAAAAAGGAGACAAAATACGCGATCTCCCGAATGTTTTGTCGGTGTTGCAACGCACTCCTAGAAGTATTTCCCCAAATTTCACAGGCTGCAACCAACGAACGCCCAATTGCAGTTACCGGAGGAATGAATCATGCCTTCCCCATCAGAGAAGGTACATCTAATCACGTTTCTCCGCCGGTGTGATGTGTTGGCTAACGGGCAGTCGCACGACTCAGGCCTCCGAGCGCCAGCACTGGGGCAAATTAGGTCGTGCAAGACCGTTAACCTGAAAAACGTAACACGCGGGAAGTTTTCCATTCATTCTATTGTCTGCAGCTGTCGAAAAGTGAAGAGCATGTCTTGTTGTGAGAGCGAAATTTCCCAACTCGACAAGCCCAGATACGAAAGAAAGGTGTTACGCCCCGGCGTACGCGTCATGCATTGAAATGATCAGAAAGAGACGCCTCCGAATGTTCCTTACATTCCGTCCTCTCTCGTATTCTCGCCCAGAATCCACCAAAAACAAAAAGGAACATCAAAATTCTCCAACGTTCGAACAAAAGAGCGGTGGCGACTTACCCCAATCAAACGTCACGATTACTGAACAATCACGCAAAGGTTTCACTGCGTAAACGTTTGTTTTTCAAACGGCGCTCCTGATTCTCCATGGATCAGTTCAAATCATTCTTTCTTCTTTATCTTTATCTTTCTTTATCTTTATTCAGGTACCCACTTCGCCATCAGGCAGTACAGTGGGGGGAAAGCAAACAATATACAGACACAAAAAACTCACACATTCAGTGCGTGAAAAACGGCGTCATTGGAAGCTATTGAGACAGCCCGGCATGGAAAGGAGCTCCAATCGCCCGTGGTCTCCACAAACAAGGAGTGTCGCAGTACGTCGCCCTTAAAAGAAATTTCTCTAATTCTTAAAGCATGGTCGTTCCTACTGGATACGTAAAAAGGCAGTTTCATATATTTATCCTTGTCTATACCGATTTTACCATAATAAATATTGTGAAAAAATTTGAGACGGAGGTGCTTTCTGCGATCTTTTAATAATTGCCACTTAAGTTTATATTTCCACTCAGTCATACTTAGTCGCCGATTATAATTACTTAAAACAAACCTCAAAGCTAGATTTTGTATTTTTTCAAGTTTTGTATAGAAAATGTGGTATAAGGGTCCCAGACAACGCAAGCATATTCCAGTATAGAACGAACATGTGAAAAGTAAATTGTTTCTCTGAGCGACTGAGGTACAGTTTTGAAATTTCGTCGCAAAAAAACCTAGCATCCGTGAGGCCTTCGAAAAAATATGGTCAACATGCGCATTCCAACGCAGATCGGATGTAAAGTATGCACCGAGATATTTAAATTCATTTAGGGTTTCTAGAACTTTTCCAGTTAGCGAATAACGAACTGCTGGCGGTAAAACATACCTTGTAAAAGTGACATGTACATAAAAAAAAAGAGCACTGCCCAGTGTGACGAAATTCAGTAAATTGCGTAAGAACAAATCCGAGAAAAATGTATTGAACTGACTATTGAAAATGGCCACTTAATTGTTGACCTCAAAATGTGGACGCATGTGCGGTGGCGGCTGATATTCAAAGAAGACAGCTACTGAGCATACTCAAAACGCCACTACTGGAATGGTTTATATATATCAATCAATTAATAATGTGTTGTATTCCAAAAGAATGTAAGAGTATAAGGACAAATGCCAGAATGGTAGCTTGAAAAGCCTCCAATGAATGTTTTTTTTTTTTAAATCTTATTGTTCCTCTATTATTTCTGATGATGGTCTTTAGATGCCTCTCATTGGAAGATACCACATCAAGGAACGCACAAAGCTCCACAAAGATAAATTTCTTGGTTTGCCTCCTGTTCCGTAAAATTTGACTTAAGTTTATAATAATAATAAAAAATTCAAACTAACAAAAAATAAAACAAAACGAAGTTCACTTTGACACTTCGCATTCCGACGGCCTTCGCCGAGAGCGAGGTGGCAAAGCCCCACCCAGAACCTCCTGGAAGAGGGTGTTATGGTAACGGCGTTCCGACGATGGCTTGCTCGACCGCGAAGGACGGTAGTACAGTTCCTTGGTGTCATTTTTTTCTGTTTGTCTTCTTAGGCCACGTTGATTTCGTGACGAGGGACAAGCGGTCCTATATCCCTCGCACACGGCTCCACACCTTCTCGCTTTCCGCTTTCCCGCTCAGCCGTTGTTTTCTCTTTCTCGTGGACCGCGTAAGCGAGGAGGTCCGTCGGAAGAGGAGCGTCAACGGTCACTTGGGTCCCGCGCTGGGCGAGAACGACGCCAGAGAAAGGGGGAAGCTGTCACTTGACCGCGTATAAAAGAACGCCGCCCAGGATTGACCGGACGTCGCCCGAACGAGTCGGAGTCGCCACAGCTGACCAGCGTCGTCATGAACACTGTGAGTACGCCAGAGAGATCCTGAAGCGTCGAGAGCAGTTCCGTTTAAAAGTTAGAGTCATCGACAGCTTAATAAAGGCGGGGCGCGGCGAGTCCCGTTCGTCGTATTATAGCTCCACAGCCATTGAGATTGCGACCTTAGCCGATACCCGTGAACGATTCACGCTTAAGCAAGAAGCGTGAACATAGTAAAAAAGCCCTGCGTTTCTTGTGTTATCGGTGACTTTAGATCCCGGAAGTGCTCATAGATAAGTCAGTTTTTTTTTGGGGGGAGGGGGGTTAGGAGCGAAATTAACGAAAGGAAGTTGACACGCTCCAGCGGAGGACCGAGGGTTTATTTCGACCACCTAGGGATCTTTTGTCGTTCAGCCATAACCTCGGTTACGCGGCGACTTTGCAATAAGCATCCCTCAGATCGCGGGCACCACGGCTGGGATTTGAGCCTGCCAGCTGAGGATCGGCGTAGGATGGGCGCTTTGCCTCTGAGTCCCCCAGGCTGCCCTTATAGATTACTTATAGTCTGTTTCACCAATAGATCAGAGCGCAGTCAGGGGATAGAGGGCACCCTAACACCGAAGCACCGACTAAAAGCGCAGCGTCACGGTGAGTTTATTGGGTTTGATGGGTTTAGCAAATGATGACACAAGCCCAGAAAGACGGCAAAAGTCGTGACGCTGGTCTGTTGGCATTGCCTCAACTACCCCGTCGGTTCATAGCATCGCCTGCGCTCTGATTTAAGGTAAAAGAAAGGTATTGTCGGCCATTTTTTATTTCCTAGGTCACGAGTTTAATACCCATGAACTTAAATTTGCTGAACGGTTCTTGTACCTCTGTTGCACTGGAAATTGAACTGTCGTTTTGTGTTATCCCCGCGGCAGGTAATATTATATTTATAAATATCCCATACGGTGCTTCAAGGATTTGTCCGCTTTTTTAGACTATAAGCTAAACACGCGTAGTCTTTAGTCTTTATAGTCTTTATATAGGAGTCTTATATAGGACATATGAAGTCTTTATATAGGACAAGAGAGGTGTCAGATTGTGTTGGCTTCGAACATGTAAAATGCTCAGGCTAATCTACCGATAAGTATCGACGTATAAAACGCGGTCACTTGATGATACTACTTGAACTCGTCTTTCGCTTCACGATAAGGTTATCCGTCATTCTAAAAAAAAGCTTGTGAGTTCACTGTTCTGCAGAACATGGAGACAGCCAATCACGGCTAACAATAAAAGGATCCCAGTAGATGACGATGATGATGACAGGCGCAGGGACAGTCAGCGGGTGAAACGTCATAGTAAATCTCTTTTAATTCACTGCTTTGATTTTGTTTCATAATATTCCGAGATTTGCAATTTGCTGGGATCCTTCCAGTGTTCCCCGTAATAGACGTCTCGTGTTCTTCACGAAAGTGAACTTACAGACTTTTTTAGAGTTGTGCGCAATGATGCCATTGTCTGCAAAAAGCAAACCTGCCAGATGTCATTATGAAATCTATTACCGGGCGTTTCCCAGTTCTTCGCAGTCGTTCTGCTGGCCACAGCGTGCGCTGTCCAGGCGGGCTACTTCGGTGCCGGTCCTGCATTCTTCGCGGCGCCCTACGGCTACGGTCACCATTTCGGTCCGGCGCCCCTGATTGCCCACGCCCCAGTCGTCGCCAAGGTCCCTGCGCCGGTGTTCGCCGCTCCCGTGGTGGCAAAGGTGGCTGCCCCCTTGTACCACCCCGTGGTGGCTAAGGTGCCCACGGCAGTGAGCTACTCCTACTTCCATTCCGCCCACCCGGTTCCGCTGTTGAAGGTGGCGGCTCCCGTGTTCGCCAAGGTTCCCTACGGTCACTACTACCACTGAGCTGGACGTCGACGACGATGATATCAGGCCACTTCATCATCAGGGGCTAGGGATTCTCTACATGTAAGTGTGATCAATGCTACGCTTCCTATCGTTATAAGTATTCAGAAACAACTCTGGGGGCTTGTTGTGCTTCTAGAACATACCTAGGCAAACCCTTCTTGATTTTTCTGTCCTCATTTTGCTTTATTCCATTAGGGATAGCTGTCATGAACTTATCACCGAGAAAAGGACGGTTAGCCATGTTCATTCTTGGGAACATCCCGCAATATACAGATAACTTCTCTTGTGCAGAGCGACTGAGAATTAGTTTAAAATTATTTAGAGACACAAAACAGTTGGATGCTGTATCCCCGCGTGCGCTAACAATAACGAGACGCGGACAATTCTGGCTATGGTACGCGCGCCTCCGACTGATCATCTGTGTTTGGAGAGATGATTAACTTTCTATTGAAACGAGGTTGTGACTTTAAATTACTTTTTTCCGTGATGTTCCCGTGATACGTAGTTGTTACGCAGTGTGAGATTCACATTGTAATGTTTACTAGAAATACATATAAAGAACGCAGTATTCATATTTTTCGTTTCGAGTTCCGAAAATCGCAGAAGTTTTGTCTATAAACTTTTCAATATTATTTTACACCGTGATTCAGGAAAAAAAAATTCCTGATTTAGCAGTAGCATCCGTGAACATACGATGTAAAAATGTATGTAAAAATGCAGTCATGCAGTCTATAACGCAGATCCAGAATACCACCATCATAAGCTCGTCATTAGTGCACTTTCGATATTTTCCTCGTCTTTACGGTAATATACTAAGGTGCCGTAACAAATGAGTTTTGCGTTCACCAATCAATGCTCTGGATGTGCTCAAGAACTAGGTACTGCTATTCGGTTTTCCAGGCTTCCGAGGGAGGCGCTAACACGGCGAAAGAGAAGAAACCCAGCTAACGAACGAGCACCACATCTGACCGTCTTTGGAGGTTTCAAGTTCGAAGGGCAACAAACAAGAAGGACGCAACCATTGCTGCAGGGAAATACCAACGCGCCAAACATGTACAAAGCAGTCACGCCAATAAACTGCCAGCATCCACTCGCACCACACTGCACCGCTAAATGGGGACGCTCTTTTTTTTCTCCCAGACTTACCATGCAACCACGCCAACAACAACGAAAACCATTCCCAACTCTATAGTGCGCCTAGATTTCAGAGAGTTTCCAACTGCTCTATCGTGGTCACGTGGTGTACGGGGCGCGTTTGCACTGATGATGATGATGATGATGATGATAATAATAATAACAATAATAACAATAATAACAATAAAATAATCTATATTTGCACGAGTACGAGCTATCTCCTGGGAGGCGGGACTGCTGGCCTGCCTCCCAGGAAACAAAACAAACAAGTTACAAACACTACATGACAACATAAAGTCTAAAACAGGCAACACCGTCTAAACTCGCAATGGCGCCCAGCCGAAGCCACGAGCCGAAGGGAAACCACGTGACCACGAAGCACATCGCCCCTACATGCGCCCAAGTAGTAGCATTGCGTCGGGAGGTGAGGACCGACGCGGATGGCTGGGAATGGATGCTTTTGCTCACAGCCTCGATCGGCCCGCAACTCCGACCGCCAACCACTACAGGGCGAGACGTTCTGAGCGCGGTAGACAATGCCGTAGAGGCCCCCGATTCTAAATAAACGCGCCACCCCATGGCTTCTCCAGGACCAGACACACTGGCGGGCACGCCTGACGTAGCCGTGTTCCCCACGACACCACCCCCCCCCCCCCCCCCATGTAAAAACGCAACCTGTCTGTTCTAATGGTTTCTAGCTCTCGAAAACACGCGGCACAGAAAAGAGCACAGAGCCTGCCCCGTCTACGGGAATGGGGGAGCGCACATCCACTGGTGTCGAACAGAAGGCCTTAGCCGCAGCTGAGGAAGGAATGACCGTGACGTTGTGTGCGTGCCTGTAGCCGGTCTGGCTGCCCAGAACGCTTGTTCAGGCGGAGGGCGCTGTTAAGGTATACGTATCGTGGAGCGAGCCGTCCGGGAGTCGGCACAAGAGCCTCACGCACGCCACAACCCGCCGGTGGTCAAGCGAGTGCCAGGCCAGACGCATCAGTCGGTCTTCGGATGACTGCGGCGTGATGAGTGGGCGGTTAGTACGCGCCAAAAAGCGTTTTCGTGTTGCGTGTCGTTGAACTCAGTCCAGACGCTTCATGAGGTGTGCCTGATGGGGACTCCAGAGGACGTACGGAATTCAAGGCGCAGAATCACCAGGGCAATCTACAGGACTCGAAAAGCCTCTCGGCCACAGAAGCGAGATATACTAGTAATGAGCCCAAGTGTCCGACGGGCCTACGCCATGACGATCGGTATGTGGATGTTAAAATAGAGGGTAGGTGTCAAAGTAACTCCTACTATCTTCAGGCATTTATTCACCGACAGGGGTGCTCCAGATAGAGTATAGCATTGGGGATCCACCTTTTTGTTTTCATACTGAAGCGCAAAGCGGCACTTTTCGTATGACTGAATCTTATGCAGATCGTCTAGGGCATCACCTGGAATCGGATAGTTGTTATCCCACCAGCCAACATGAGAGTTGAAATCTCCAATGAGGAGGACGTCCCAGTATGGTTTCAGCAGAGCACGGGTGAGAGAAGCATCAAGCAGCTTGTAGGCGGTGTCACGCGTCGAGGGTGAGCAGTATACGCACCCGAGCAGGACAGTATACCATGAGGAAAGTGCAGCTCGAGAAAGAGTGCCTCCAAGTCAGGCTGGTCCAGATCAGGCCTCCAGTTGACCATGAGGCCGGACGGGGCAGCGACTAGCACCCCTCCGCCCCTGCGTCCCCTGTACCTGTGGTAGATGGTGTGCGACGTGCTCAGAAATGTACTGTCGTGCACGCTGGGGTCCAGCCAGGTCTCCGTCGGCAGAAAAATCGCGTTATTTGTCAGTTAGGTTGCGGTGGTGTCAACATCTTGTGTCTTGGTCTTTAGGCTACGACAAGTGGTATACCAGAGGTTAAAGGGCTTATTGAGGCTGCACTTCGGCATGTGATTGACCGCACTGTTATCGAAAGAGCGGAGGACGCCGCTATCAACTAGCTTTGCCCAGAGGCGCGCCGGTTACAACAGGTGCAGGAGGCTAGAAAATATCATCTGAGATTCGAAGCAGCGAGCAGACTAAACAGAACCACGGGTTTTCGCAAGAGCTCAACCGGTGGTACTGAGCTAGCGACATATGGACGCAACCACCCAGGCTTTCTTTCTTTTCAACACTTCTCTCTCTCTCTCTGGACGCAACCGCGATGAAACCACCCCCCGCAGGAGTCACAGCAGAGAGCTGCCTGGTTATCGCGCACTCGTCTTGTGCAGCAAGCACAGCCAGGACGCTGAGGACCGGGGTTAACCGGGACATCACCGGCGAAGAGAAGACACCACCAGAGAATGTTATGACAACGAGCGCTAGTCGCGAGGTCCGCTGCGGTAGATTGAAGGCATACCTTAGTGGCCGACAGAGAGCTAACGGCTGTTCCGGTGGAAAAGGAGGCGGGAACGCCGGTCAGACCTTGGGTGGAGCTGCCGTGTAGATGGCTGCTGGAGCAGTTGAAGTCACCATGAGTCTAGGTAAAAGTTAAATTGTCAGTTCTCAACTTTAGGAGCGTAGCGAAAATCAAAAGTATGTGGAACCACGAAAACAGGAGTACGGCCGCCAGTTTTCTTCACCAACACAAGCTGCGATGAGGAACCGAGTGCGTCGGTCGTTTGCAAGCGATTCGGCCTCGCTCCATCTCCACTACCATTGTCCTCCTTGGCTCGCGACAACGCACACGTGGGCACGTAAACCCAATATGACAAATCTGCGCACGAGATGTTCGTCATTAAACTGCAGACGCTCTCCACGATTTGAGTTGCTCACTTGTTCAAATCTACCAAGCTGAACAGGAGGCCACGCCCCCAGCAAAAAAGACGGAAAGAAGAGAAGTGGGGAGTTACGGCCTATCCAAGTCCGCTGCAAAAACTGGCGCAGCCTGGCGTCCGAGCTCCGAAGAGAGGAGATAATATTAAATATGCGTTGTTGACGTGACAACTCGAGTTGTGGACGTTTAAAATTCGCCGGGGTATGGGGGCAGTAAAAGTTAGTAAAAAGGATTTAAAGAAAAAAAGATATTAGTGTGTGAAATAAAGGTTTATTTGAACATTGCTCTTTAATTGCAGTTTCTATTTTTACAATGAACTTGCCGAAATTCTAAGCTTTAAGTAACTATGTGCTTCGATATAGGTTTAACTTAGATTAGAGTCAAATAAGCAATGGCGGAAATGTGCCAGACTCAGATTGAATTCACTTAAATGCACAATAAAAAAGTGCTGCACCAATAAGCATACAAATAAAAATAAAATTGATTAAAAAGAAACACATCCATTTCTCTTAAAAGGGCACTGAAGTCGATTCTGAGATCGTCCTTTTGTGATGACAACTCAGTCTCGATGCTCTAAGCATCCCAACAAACCCAAAATCGCAACCGTGCGTAGCTTCTTTTCTCGTTAAGAGCTTCTTCCAAGATCGCGACACGTTCTTTTCGGGAAGGATTTTCTTCCGAGTGAAGTGGTCGACGAAGGGCGCTTGTCGGCGAGTTGGAAGCGATGGCTTCGCCCGCGGAGAAAAAGATGACTCTTGTCTTGAGTCTTATCCAAATGCGTACCTATCAGGCTCTCTTAGAAACAAGTTATAATAAAATCATTCAGAACCTGCGCGTTTTGTAGGGCTTTCATTAGTCCACACAATGTAGTCCGCGAGAAAAAAAGGGTCCATATGTTTTTCGCTTGCCCTGAGATGAATAGGCGGTATTGTAATATACGACTTGGTATATGCGGGAACTAACAGCTTTTAAACAATATAAGATCAAAAACGACCTTTTTCAAAAAGGACTTCAGTGCCCCTTTAAGCGTAGAACGCTTGTATGCGGGGCGGGGCAGTGACTTTACTCGCCTCAATTTGTAGTCATAAACAAAAAATAATTAAACAGTTTTGGCACTTAACAATATAAAACAAGAAACAATACAATCAAAAGTACAGACCTACTTCGTGTTGAACCTTTTCAACAGTATAATTCAGTTAAGCACATTTCAAGAGTGTAATGACAAAGATCGCCATACAATAACAAGCGGCAATGAAGAATACGGACGTTCACACAAAGTTTCATCGTTCAACTCACCGATCTAGTTAGACCTGTTGGGGAAAACACAACTATTTGATCTTTTGAGAGCGCAGCTCTTAGGCGCCCGTTTCCGGCTCGAGCGGCGTCGGCGTCGCCGTCGGCGTAACTGCGCGTTGCAATATGGGACACGTGATGTCACTGGTGACGTCAAGTGTGACGTCACCAGTGACAATGACGATGACGTCATCACGATGACGATGACGTCATCGTCATAGTCATCGTCACGTGACGCCAGGGGGTCACGTGATTCCCGTGAGGACACGAGGGTCACGCGACGTCACGAGGGCCACATGACATCACGGTTACGCTGACGGCGACGCCCGCGCCGCTCGGAGGGAGGAGTTGCAGGCAAGATGAGGAGGTGAGGAGGAGGGAGGAGGGGCATACCCTCCCCTCAGTACCCTTCCCTCCTCCTCAAGAGCTGCGCTCTAATTCGGCGTTACATGGAATTGTAAACGGCTTTCATTTTTTTTCATCTGCTTCTTGGACGATAGGTGAAGAAGATCTCCAGGCAGACTATTAGATATAGTGGTAACATAATGCTAACATTGCCTTTTTATATAGTTATTGTATATTTATGGAATAGCATAGGTTTCTGTTTGTCGATATTTTAGTGTGCTGGGGTACTTCTCTGAAATCCTTGGAAAAATAGTTACTGCTTCAAACAAGTTTAAAATATTTTCAAATTACAATATTCCGACTGCATTCATTTTCTCTCTATTTTTGTTAAGTTTCATATTTTGATGCTTACACTATATTAGTGATACATCTGCAAATAATTATATAAATATTTTGTTTATATTTAGTATATATTGCATATTGTATAACAGATACTCCCATCGATTTGTATCCTTTGCACGTCCAATTGATGT